CCGCAGCCCGGCGGGTCTTCCAGCCCCCTTCCGCCGGCCGGCCGCGCGGGGCAGGGCCGGGGGCGGGGGGCTGCGTGGCCCCGCTCCTGCCCCCGATCCTGCCCGGGTTTTCCTCCTCCCTCCCGGAGCGCTCCTCCCAGAACCCATTCCGAGAATCCGCTCCCGGGCTTCCGGGCCCCCAGGGACAGGTCGGTAGGGTTCCTCCGAGCCGGGAAGGGGGTGGGTGGGAGAGGGTCTGTCCTGGGTTCCGTGGCTCCCGGCCTCGCGGCTCAGCGCTCCCCTTCCCCTTCCAGGAGTACCCGCACTTAAAGACCCTACGCACCGTGCTCGGGGAGACGGAGGTGGCCTGGCTGGAGGGACCCTCACGGCCGCCTAGACAGCGGCGCCTCATTTTACAGACTGGGAGACTGAGTGCCAGAGAGGGTCATGAGCTTGCCCAAGGTCACGGAGAGGTGGCAGAGCCGGACCCAAACCCTGTCTCCGGTTCTCTGCGCCCGCATTACTCCGAACTGTCTTTGCAGGGGAGGATCCCCGCCCCGGCGTCCCCCCAGGTCTGGGCCCCACACTCTGCGCTGCGGGGAGTACACCCCCCCCCCCCCGGCCCCTCACCGCCCCTGGCCACCCCGACCCTCTGAGGAGGGGAAGTGCTCCTCCACCGGTGGTGGGAGGAGAGAATACCTATAGTTAGACAGACAGAAGAACTTCCCCGAGAGCCTGGCCATCTGTGGCTAGTCTCAGTTAAGAGGCGGACAGACTGAGGCACCCCAAAGCCGGATTGAGAATTTATTGAAGGTGAAATTTCCTCCAGCTTCTCCTCCAAGCTGATCCCGGAGCATGTGTCCCGCACACTAACCACCATGACAGCCTCCCTTCCCCGTGCCTCGTCCCCACCTCCAGTCGGGATCCAGTCCCAACTCCTCAGCATGATGTACAGTCAGGCCCCACCTTACCCAGCACCCTATATACCCACACATACGCCCTGATTCCCACAGATTCCAGAACATACCAGATGCTTCCGCACCTCTCTGCCTTTGCCCGTGCTGTTTTTCCTGCCTGAAGTGCCCTGCCTCCTCCTCTGCCCAGAGAATTCCTGGGGCCCTCCGAGCCCAGTCTCCCGGCCACTTCCCCTGGGAGGGCCTCCTGACGCCCGAAGCAGAAGTCGTTCATTACCCACTCCTTCATTCATCCAGCCCTGGTGCCCCGATTTTTTATTTAACCGGTTTGTAACACGGGGTCCCTAACAGTCCCGCCCCCTCACAGGGGCAGATTAAGGGAGGTAGATGCACAAGGAAAGCACAGCTCATAGCAGGTGTTCAATAAACGTGACCATCTCGCACGGCTCATAGTAGGTGTTCAATAAACGCGACCGGCCCTTTCTCAATCCTCCCTTCAACACTGTGCAGAGCCCCAGGGAGCACTCCATGCCCCCTCCCTCATGACTCTGCGGTGGCCTCACCGGCAGGCAACCAGGACTGGGGTTCGTGTGAGTCTTTCGCGGGAACCGCTGGGGGAACTTAGGCAATCGGAATCCTGGGTCGGTGGCAGAGAAGTGCCTGGTCACTGTCACACCTTTCCAGGGAAACTGGAAGGATTTCAGGGGAGGCAGGTGACCTGTGTGGTCCCTTCACCCAGCCAGAGGCCTGGCCTGGTGGCTGCCCTGGGAATGCGGGGTGCCAGGGAAGAAGGGAGGGGCAAGAAGCGGGGGGGGGGGGGGACAGAGGGGTCTGTAGACCCAGAGCCTCTGTTCCTGTGGGATCAGTCCTGATGCTAGGTCACCGGGCACAAGTTTAAGGAAAAGGTAGAGGCTCGGGGACAGTGACGTTTGGGAGACAGGAGAGGGAGGCCTGGTGGCTGTGACACCATAGGGTTGAGAGGAAACGTTTGGTCATGGCCACCTTGCTCGTTCTGGGACCCCTCTGGCTCATCTCCTGTAAGGAGGGTCTGGTGGAGGCTGACCGTGGACTGAGAGGAGGTGCGGTGAGGCAGACAGGGCAGCTCCAGTCAGAGAGAGGTTCAGGGACCCCAGGAAAAGAGTCCCCTCCCCACACCCAAGCCTTGAGCGCCTCTGGGCAGCTCTCCTCTCCACTCTGTGCCTCAGTTTCCTCATATGTATGATACCCTATCATATCGTAGGACAACACCCCCACCGTTGAGATTAGAGGGAGAATTCGCTATATTTGGGAAGGGCAGGGGTGGGGAGGGGGCGGGGGGAGGGATGTGAGACAGGAGCGCGGAGGCCTGAAGGGGCAGGGGAGAGAGGCTTAGATGTCAGAACCTGGGTGACCCCCCGCGCGTGGCTTGTCATCTCTGGACCTCAGGAGCCTCACCTGTGGTGGGACAGTCTGGACTGGGTCCCCGGAGGGTGAGTAGGCTTTGACTTCATCTAGCACAGAAGCACGTCCCAGAAGGAGTGAGTAGAACGGGCCCCCTCGAGTGGTTCCATTAGCCCAGCACTATATTACAGGCCTTCGGGGGCCCTGTCCCATTTAATCCTTGCAAGAACTCTATGGTGCAGGCGCTTGTTACCAACGGGGAAACTGAGGCACGGGTCATCTTGTTGTGAGCGGCGGGGCCCCGGGCGGCCAGGGACAGCTCTCTGGAAGGGCGAGACTTGCTCTGAAGTTGGACGGGTAATGACGGCGAAACCTTCGTCCGCCTGGACGTTTTGCCAAAGCCCCCCTGCCCGTTTCCCACTCTCAGATTTGATCCTCGCAATGTCTTTATGAGGGAGAGTCTACGAGCGTCCCTAGTGCACAGGTGAGAAAACCGAACTAAGACACGGAGAGAGGGAAGTGCCCAGGCTCACTCAGAGAGTAAGCAAGTGTCTGAGCCAGAAGTGGAACCGATTCCCAGTTTCTGGAAAGGTCGTTCCAGGCCAGCAGGGCGCTCACTGGTTGTTTCGCTCTGGGAGCCCAGTCAGGCCTCCCTGGTCCCACGGGGGCCTTGAGAGCCTGTGCAGAGGGCAGGGAGGACTGGAGGTGAGGGAGCTTGGGCCAAGCAGGTTGGACACCTAGAATGGGGGAGGTGGACGGGAAGGGCCGTTTCAAAATGCCGGAGTCACAGAGCCCAGGGGTTTGGGGCTTAGAGAGTTCCTTAACATCTGGCCAGCCCATTCTACAGATGGGACAAACTGAGGCAGCCCAGCCGCTTAGCTTGGTAATCAGACCAGGACACAGCTGGCCTGCCTCAGAACTCTAAAGTCCCAGCAGCCCCGAGGGGGTGAGGACCCACGGTGGGGAAAGGGGCCACGGGGGTTCAGCGGGCCAAGACCCAGCCCAGCAGGCTGTGCCCTGGGTATGGAGGACCGAAGGGGTCTCTCCCGCCCTCCACTCCCACCCTCGCCCACCCCCCAGCACTCAGTAGTCACCAGGGTGGAATATTTTAGCACCTATAGAAAAACCGCCACAGACGGCCTGTGGCAGCTGTTGCTAAGGAAACGCTCCCAAAATAGCCCCCCTCCGCCAACCTTTCCCGCTGCTGCTCCTGCTGTGGGGAGGGGAGGAGGCCAGGAGGGGAGGGGGTGGCACACGAACCCCGGACCCAGCTTCACCCACCCACCCTTGCTCCTGCTGCCACGCTGCCCCAACACTGGGGCAAGCCAATGACCTGGGCAGCCACAGGTCTGCAGAGGGGGCAAGGGCTGGCCCGTGGCCTCGACCACAGTCCTCGGCTGGAGGAAGGTCACCCAGATGAGGGGAGGTCGGGGAGAAAAGAGCCGCTGCACCCCCACCCCCCCGGCACACTCCTCTACGTGCACCATCACAGACCTCACCGTTTTACACATCCACTCGTGCACACCACAAGTACAAACGCACAAATGCCACCCCCCCCCCATCCCCAGATATGCCTATTCACCACCCAAGACACAAATAGACGCACGGGTAAACACATATGCCTCAAATACACAACACACACCTGCAAAAACATACCCACAGCCATAAATACGCACATTGACATACACATACTCAAATATGAATCCTGAGTACACACAAACACCAGTGCATGCACGCATGCCTGGCACACGCGCGCGCGCACACACACACACACCCCGATGTATATACAGTCTCCCAGCCCGTGAATATACAAGTGGACAAACACATGCCCAGCACGTGGCGTCCAGAGAGCCCCGAGTGGTGTTACCGTCGGGCTCTGTGCAGAAGCCACGCGCGCCCCAGGGCTCTCCAGACATCCTCACTTAGTGGAGAACTCCTGTGATCTGGCCACGGAGTAAAAGATTAGGAGGAGGTGTACAGGAGCGTGAGTAGAGGTCGATGTCTCTGCGAATCCCTCGAGTAGGCGGTGGGGGGACCAGAGGATCCCTGGTGCCTGGGAGAACTAACCTGGGTCCACTTCTTGGGAAGGGGGCAAGTCCGGGAGGGAACTGCAGACCGGAAACCTCCGGGCCTGGAGAGTTGGGAGCCCCAGGTTCACCGGGCATCTGGATGTCACCAGGCCTGCAGCGGGGAGGGGGAGGGGCCGGGGTGAGGATGAAGACAAGAGGACACTGGAGTGGCAGCAGTGATGGTCCTTAACATGCGCACAGCGCTTTGCAGTTTACG